TTTTAACTTAAAAACGGACCCTTCACAAAATGATTTTTTTTTTAATCGGACCCTTCACAAATTTGTTTATCTTCATTATTGTTTTGTTAATCAAATAAACCCTTCCCAGGGCAGAAAACAAGAAAGGTGGATGCAGACGAATTAAGTTTTGTCTTCGGCAGACGATTTTTCCATTATTCGTCGGAAATGAATATTCTGCGTTCAGCAGTATAGGCTAAATACCAAATACATGTATGTTGCATCTCTAATTTAGAAGCAGCAATTGCTGCTTATTTTTGAAAATCTAATTTTTTTATTGTAATTTTACAGTGATCTTGTATCGATTTACAATTTAAAAACTCCTTGAAAAAGTTTTTTGCAATAACCGGACCCTATTTGCACAAATTCATAAAAGCGGACCCTGGTTGAAAGAATGTGAGTAATTTTTTCACAATTTCACGAAAAAAGGACCTTTTACAAAATGTCTGGACGGACCCCTGGTTATGCTTTGTTAACTGAACCATAAAATGTGCCTTATTTTGTTTAGCTAGTGGTACCATCTATCGGAAAAGTTGGAAATATTAGACTTTTTTGTCTGAAACAGCTCTGTGTTGCTGCCATCTATGCGTGTATGAGGGATTTGCGTTCCGATAGCCCAGGGTCACTAATTGAAAAGTGCAAGACACTGGCTTAAAGAATTTAGTAAATATTGCGGTGTCAACGCTGGGATTCTAAGCACCGTTCAGCTGATCGCAGATTAACACTCTCGGCTCAAATATGTATACAGCTGTAAGGAACAAAGTGGTTTCATAAGATGTTCACCAAACAGTTATTACTACAAGATAGGCATTCACTGAAGTATTAGGCATCCAATTATATAATGCTCTGAACATTACGTAATCCGTCCTAGCATAAAGACAATGACAATGCCCCATCTCTCCTAACGTTAGAACAATGCGCTTTTTTTACTGATTAGAAAACGCGCAACTCTCCTATTTTGGTTTTGGAGTTCGTATATTTTTTTATTTAAACATGACCACTTTCAGACAGAGTCAATGGTGTACTCCATATTGATATCCAAGATCTATAATTTATGAGAAATTATTTAATAAGATCTATGAAAATTTGGGCACTTGTTTAGTGAAAACAAAACAAAAAAATTCGGAATTTTTTATATTTCAAAAAAGAGAAGCAAAAAAAAAAAAATCCATTTTGGGCATCGCCAATTAATATTTAAGCAAAGAAGAAGAAAAAGAAATGTTATCAAAAATTGACAAATCATTTACGAGAAAGACAAGATAATTATCATAAAAACCTATTTGATTGCCAAAAGAAGCTCAGAATTGTTGGTAGAGAAGTTATCAGAAACACTTTCATCTTGAAAACAAACTGGTTTTACTGATTTTAATATCGTCTTTATCAATAGAGATTTGTCAGATATTAATAATATATTTGATTTTAACTAGCTTAAATATTAATTTGCAATCCTTAACGTACACACTTTTTTCCAAATTCTATAAAAAATATATTTAGGGTGGTGGTTATGTAACATCCTGTATAGGCAAGAACACAAATCATATAATAAAAAAAATGTTAACCTGGACAACTGGATAAAGATATAAAGATATACTTAATAAACTGGATAAAGATTCAGCATAATAATAAATAGCACCTTAAAATAAATACTATTTTAAACCATGAACCCTGAAAGCTTGATATTTGAAATTTGTTTGTTTTGTTTTAATATTTTTCCATAAATTTCAGAATTTCTTTTTGAAAAAGTCCTATTAACAATATAAAATTTTAATACAAAATATAAATTAAATTAAAAAATAGAAATGATTGTTAAAACTAAGCAATGTTTAAGATTATAGATACTAGAAGAGTTTGAGAAACATTAACAAAAATGATTTATAATTAACTTTTTAAATTATCTTCTTTGATATAATTGAAATAAAAATATAGTAATATAATAAAAATGTAGTATACTAATGAAAATGCAGTAATATAACTTTATTAGTAAGCTCAAATATAACTAAAGATAAAACACAAACCACGGAAAATGTTTTGAAGTTTTAGAATGTGTTCCAAATACATAGAATGTAGTTTAAGCATTTCCAACGTCTAATACAATATGAGCATTTACAACGTCTATTAATCATTACTATAACATTAATTCTTGATTAGAATTCAGCTTGATTTGTTGATGCTTGGTTTGCTTCAGCATAACAATTATTTAGTTTAAAGATTAATGTATTTTAGTGTCAAATAATTTATAGGGTATAAAAAACGACATTTTTTATTTGGTTATATTAACATTTTTGTTAGTTTTATAACAATAATTTAGTGTACCATTGGTGTCAATGTGTAATTTAGTGTCAGCGCAAAATTTCAACAGCTTTCTTATTGAATGTAAATATATGATTAGTTATTTTTTTGTTTTCATGTTGTGCTCACATGCAGTATAAAAATATCAGGGTCTTATTTACTTTGAAATTCAAAACTTACATGATGCATAGATCAGAAATTTTTTTTCTTCAAATATTTATTGACCAAACTGTATGATAAAAAACAAAAAAGTATAAAAAAAAGAACTAAACTATTGAAATCATTCCAAGAGTCAAGTTTAAATATTATCCATAATAAAATCGATTGCAAATTAATTAAACCAGAAATAAATATTTCCGGGTTTTAAGGTTCTACGGACATTAGAAAGGTATATAATATTTTCATTAATATTCTTCAAAATTATCTTACAAAGTTTTATGAAGTATTTATATAAAACATTGCTATTTAAGATATGGCTGAAGATTAAATTGCTTTTAAATATAAGGACAATTCAAAAATAAAATTTTACCTCAAGGCTACTTGAGCAATATTAAGTCCAGGGACGTAAATGAAATTTTACAAAAGAGGACTTACCCAAAAAATTAGCTCCAAGTGTTTTTTTGGTCTAAGAATTTTGAATGTTTCTCATAAAATATTTTTTATGCATTATTATAAAATCAATAATAAAATTTCGAAAGTTATAAATTTACAAACAAAATTTTACGAAGAAAAGTTCATTTAACCTAATTGATTTTGAGTCAATTTCAATATTTGAGTCAGTTACAAGACAATTACAATAATATTAAAAGCAAATGCCCATTAACTGCAATGAAATGGAATGTAAGATGTCGAAGGATATCATTTCTAATTTAAAAATACCTTAGTTCGGGATTTTAAGTTGAGCTCAGTAGGTAACGACCGATTATTTTTCTAACTATTTACTAGTTTAATTATATCTTAGAATTGTTAAATTTATGAACTTTATATTTTTGTTAAAAAAAAGTTACATAAAAACAATTAAGCAGTTACGTAATGCTTAATTCAGGTATTAGGAATTGATATTAATACTAAAAACATTTCAGGACGAACTGAAATTTCTCTTATGTCAATAAATAAATGGATAAATAAATAAATATGCATTTCCACATAAATAAAATCAACTAGCCTTAAATTTGATAAAAAATCGTCATAATCTTTATAAAAATCTTATTTAGGGAAAAAGTTATTTGTATTTGATTTCAACATAATCCATCAAAAAATGTTTCTCAGATATACCTAGACAGAAAAAAAAATATTGTGTCTTTTCTAGGCACTGGGACTACTTATTATTACTATGTAACTTATTGACGGAATGATTATTGAGTGTCTAATTGTTAACTAAGTTACCTAGTTCAACACATACATACATTCCCTTTACAAAAAAGACTTTTTTACAGAAGGTTTAATAACCTTTGTGATATGACAATTTAAAAATGCCATTTTATTACTAATATGTTTAAAAAAAACATGGCAACATAAAACACTGGTTAGGCTTAAAGATATTAAAAGAATAATTATTTTTAAGAACTACAAAACTAATATTTTTCAAATTTCTGTTGAATTATCTAAAGTTACATTGTTTAACAAGATGTAAAAACATCTCATATACAGAGGAACACATCATTGACGTATCCTTTGTTTTTTCCTCTCTTGAATATTAGTTTGCGACCACCATTGTGAATATTTTTAACACCTGTTTTTTGCAAGGATTCTGAAAATATATGGTTAGGGAGGTGATTAGGGAACACATTTCTGATGATTAAATGCTTTTTGCTCTCGTGTTTAAGAACAGACACTAGCAACAGATTCGCACATATTATGAGGAATGACAAAAAAAAAAGAAAGACTGTCTTTTGCCTTATAAGTTTGAGTCATATTTTCCGTATTGCAACCATATTTTGATAAGCTATAATCCAAATTTTTTGGGAAAACAAGTATATTTATTGAGAGAAAGTATGTTTTTCTGTCGGATTCTCTCACTTATTTAAAAGTTAGCACTAATTAATTAGCATACCTTAAGCATTTTTGAATCATTAAGAGTGCATCTTAGTAGTATGTGAAAATCAGATTATTATATCAAAAGTTATTCCAGATAGTTCGTTTTATTTTGTAGTTCACTGTATCTACCATCCAACTCTTAACTGTTAACATTTTAAAATAGTTTACTTTCAACAGACTCAACAGACAGGCCATACTGTTATACATCAAAATTTTTAAAATCATATTGTATACATAACATACATTGCATTCATAACACATAATTGAAGAGCTTAGTGAAAGATGGTTTTAAGTGATAGTTTTAAGGCTTTATGAACGCTATCTTTAGAAAATATGGCAACAGCAGAAAGCTCTTTACTAAACACACGTTTTTCATTTAAGAACTGTCTTATATGTAGGAAAACTTAAGTTCCATACATACGGCTGAATATAAAATATTTTTGAGTGAAAATTTTTAGTTTTTTTAGAATGTCACTTGGTACCGTTTTTTACTAAGCTCTTTAACTGCAAAAGTTAAAACACAAAAGTATGTTGATTCCAAAAACATACATTTCCCAAGACTGGGCTGAATCACACTCAAATCTTATAGATTTTTTACATTAATGATATATTACTGAAACTGGAAAAAGCAAAAAGAACTATTACGGATTCATTACCTTATTACTGCAACTCCAGTTCCTAAATCAAAACGAAATTCAAGATAACCATTCACTAAACTGAGACTTATGAAGTCGCCTGTACCGTCCATTTTATAACCATTGTAGAATAGAACACCATTTGGTCTATATGGCTTGAAAACAATTTGAAGCTCGATAAATGACAAAACAGTATTACTTAGACCAGGATACTGAAGATATGAAGAGCCATTAAATAAAGGTACAACAAGCTCCATGGCTGAAAATAAAAGTTAAATATTTTAAATATGGATCATAAAATTAATGTGAAATCAGAAAATGCCTTTAAATAATGTAAACTAAGATGTTGTGCTGTATAAAATAATATATAGTAAGATCCTGTACGATATCTGGACAAATATTAAATAAAAGATATTTCATAATTTCTGAATACTTTACTGTATTTTTTGACCGTCATATGTTATAGGGTCTGTGTTCAAATTACAATGCGCAAATCTTTAAATTCATAACAATATTTAATGCAGTTGCAACGTTCGTGGTTGTAACGTTTGTTGAAACCTCCTACTGCACATGTTCCAACTGCTATGAGTACAGGTCCGTAGAGACCATTTGATCCGTTGGTAGAAGCTCATAGGGAACCACTTGACAACTAGTCCAGACACAAAGCATAATCTTGCGTAAGTGCATAGGCGGTCTTGCCCTGTGAGTGACAGAATCCTGGGGTGACAACCAAGGCTTGGAACTCTTGGAATTGTCTATGCAGAACCCACTTTATGTCACTGGTAAGTACTCGATTGTATATGGATATAAACGATAGCGAGTCATCAACGGCATACAGGCTGCCCTTCGTTATTTTTTGCGGACTTCCTACAGCGTGTGCTGAACCTAATGGCTCAGGATGTGCATCTTACTTAAGCGGTGACGATGGAGTCTAACTAATTTTTAAAATTTTTTTTATATCCGTCGCTGAACAGTCGACCCAATTTTGGGTTTACGACTACTAATGATAAATTCCGTAGCCTTGTAATTTTGAACCAAAGGAAACTCAGAGGTTTTGATTTGTTATGGGAATATGGGAGACTTTGCGACTTGAAAGATGTAACGTGCATTAGTCACCATTTACTACCGGCTGGGATAGAACCCACGAACTCTTGTACATGGGCCCAGTGCCCTACCAACCAGGCTATCCTGGCCTATGAGTCTAACTATTTAGTCAGAAATGTTGAACTGAGTAGTTCACCACACTTTATACTACTGTACTCCTCAATGACCACATGCAGGACTTTGTTATCCTAGGCCTGTGGTTGTCCACTGTGTGGTTTATCACAGAGAGGTAAATCTCCCGACCTGAATTTTTGAAGTCAATGTCTAACAGTACGTTCATTCATAGCACCGTACCCAAACTCTTGACATATTTGGTGATTTGATGCAGTCGATGATAAGCACACTTTGAAGTCGTAAAGCAAATAACACCGAACAAGCTCCTTGGACGCTTCTATTTGTTTTTGCTGCTGTACGAATTACGATAGATGAAAGAGCTCAGTGGTTCTGCATTTATAACGACATATATTCCTACTATCAACCGACAGGTTTTTAAACCACGAGATACTATAATTTGCCAACAAAATTAACTTCCTTCAATGGTAAAGCAAGAAGGGGAGAACTTTATTATTGGTTACTTTGTAGTTAATGGACGTTTAGTGTGACTTGTAATATGACGTTAAAATTTCACGAGATACACTTTATGTGCTTGGCATTGTTACACCACGCTTTATTTTTTTTGTCCGTTATTATGGCGTTAAAATACATTATAAATATGTCATTGTTAATTAACCATAACAATTTGCCTTTTTTTCCTGCGTCAAGGACGAAACACAGTGATTTATCTTCAAAGGATTGCATAAATACTCAAACACCAACTTCTCTGGCTTCAGTTAGTTAGGCAACCCCACCAACAGCGAAATGATTCACAACCAATCACCTTTTTGGATGAATTATGTTTTAAAATTCATTAAAATTATGTATATGATAAGAAAAACGGGTCATCCTGAATAACTTTTAAACTAATGACCGGATCTTCTTGGTCTTAATGGTTCGACATGGTGATCTGAAATATGATAATTAATTAGTGCAGGGGATATTTTAAGTTATGAGATCAGACACAAAAAGTATTTTTCTGAATAAATATACCTTTTTCCCGACAAATTCGAATTTCTGACTCCTAGAATATGGAGGGTAGCCGCAATCTGAGAAATATGGTTTCCATAGTTTGGTTAGGAGATCAGTCCAAAGTTTGGATCCTTTAATATTAATTTTACTTTTTGCATACCGCCCCCTTTTTCGAGAACTTTTCAAGCGAGCTGAATTTATTAAATTTGTTCTGTATTATAATTATTTTATTAGTTATTATAATTATGAATTTTTTTTATCCGAAGATAATTCCAGCAAAAAATAACTTTCAGTAAATATTTATTCTTTTTTATTATTTTACTTAATAAAAGTTGAAATGTTTTTTTAAATGTAAGGTATAAGATTTTATACATCATTTTAGTGAATGAAATTTTATATGGCAGAATGCAAAATTTGAGCAAAATCGATCGAATCTTGAGAAACCAAATTTTAAAAAAATAACTTTTTTAAAAATTCTACATCTCAAGATTTATTCGACCAATTTCGCTCAAAATATGTATTTTACCATAAAAAATTACATTCTTTAAAAAATGTAATAACATACATTTTAAATTTTTTTCACTTATAGTAAATAAAATAATACTTATTTACTATAAGTTATTTTTTGCATGGAGTTATCTTTAAATAGACGAATTTAATAATTGAGTGCAAAAATGTTTCAATTCACTTAAAAAGTTCTCGGGATCTGGCGAAATACGCATTAAGTAAATTTAGCATTAAGGGGTTCGAACTTTCGACTGCTTTGCTGATAAAACTAATGGGACCACATATCCCAGATTGCAGCTACCCATATATTTTGACTCTCTGAAATCTGACTACGTGGAAAAAAAATTGTTTATGTAGAGAAAGCTCATTTTTGTGTCTGATTTCATAGTTTGAAATATCATCTGCACTAATTAATTAGCAAATACGAGGTCACTCTTTTGATCCATTAAGATTGAGTCTTAGAACTTGAGCATCCGATATTATTTAATTAAAAGTTATTACGAGTGGTCCGTTTTCTATATTGCGCACTGTACGTATGTACTATTTAAATATTATAGAGTCAAACACAACCTCTCTCGGAATCTTTTACCAATCTTCATATCTCCGACATGCTTGAAATTAAGATTAGGGATACAACGTAGCATGTCATGGATTATACGTATAGCATTTAAATCATTAAACAAACGTTCTAAACTTGAGCAAATTTCTCCTCCAAAAATCGAGCAATTCATCAGAGAAGTTTTACAATCAGAAATTCCTTCCTTTCTTCTAAGTCATTATTTAAGGCATTTTTCTTCAACACGGTAATGTTTGAGTGCATATTAGGAGAAAACTAGACTTCTTTTTCAATTAAGACCAAATTCTGCCATAGCGCCAGGTGAGGGTGTGATTTTGTTTTACATTATAAGGGTTGTTTAACCCCTTCCTTCTCGCTCCCGTGAAAATGACGGAGTGAGGTTTCGCCCTCTATTTCTCGCTCCCGTGATATTTCCGGGCTGGAGTGTTCAGTAGTAACGCGCCAATAAGAACAAAACTAATTCATTTTTTTTGCCCGGGAAAACATTTTATTTCTCCTTTTACACACCAGATGGCAGTACCAGGATATTTTTTAAGGTAATTGTAGATAGTTTATTTTAAACTAGATGTTAGGACTAATCAAATACGTGTATAATATACATGTATAAAAAAATAGGCACTTTTATGACGGTTTTCTTGAAAATTAATCGATCGCTAAGGGGTTAAATGAAAAGTGGATGCGTAGTGTGATAGCGTCAGAAATATTGCAAAGATAGCAGCGATATCATTCAGCGTTATAAAGAAATATAAGAATTGTGAACTGCAGATTTTTTATAACTAATTCACAAAATTAGCATAGTGAACGTAGGATTGATGCATTCACATCTAAAATGCAACAATCAATAGTATGACTTTTAATGCCAAAAGTTAGCTTAATGCAGTTATTCTTAGTTAAAAAGGTGTCTTTTTATCTTGAGTACATTTTAATATAAAGAACGATGAATAAATGGTATTTTTTTTGTGAAGGTGGGACATCATTATTGGATTTACAAGACCATGACAAGCAAACATCATGATTTCTATAGAATCCGTTGCTAGTGTTGATGAATTGATTTGAGAAAACCGAGGCACGAGTTACTACTCGTGATATATGTACAGCACTGTCTTTGAGGGGCGGGGATAGCCTGGTCGGTAGGGCGCTGGGCCCATGTTCGAGAATTTGTGGGTTCAAACTCCGCCGGCCGAAGACTCCTCGTGTAGTAAATGGTGACTGATGCACGTTAAATCTGTCGAATCGCAAAGTCCTCCATGTTCCCATAACAAATCAATACCTCTGGGGGTACTGGATTGGAGATCGATTGTTCTCTGATTCAGGTTAAAATTACGATCTTGTTGATGAATGAATGGATGTATGAATGGGTCCGTCCTATAAACGGGGGTGTGACGTATGGGTGTGGCAGAAATCGAATTCTTGGCCACAGATGGCGCCACTGGAAAATAAGAACAATCGCACCCCTCTGCCTAAACAGGCATACGAAAGCAACTGTCTTTGAGTAAAAGAACGGTGCAATCAATGGCAGTGGCTTTTTTTTCAAGATAGAAAAATATGGATATGTCGAGAATTAGGAGTTTTGCGAAGGGAATCGGGTGTACGTGTCTATTAATATTAGAGCAATTTGTATATTTCGAAATACCATATCGTGTTTTATCCAGATTTCGGTTTCAAACATTGAATTTACTAATACATATTTATACTAGGGTTGATTATATTAAATTCGGGCTGGAAACGATTGATTCGAGCCGCTTAACTGATAATTTTATTATGTATGCTATAATTTTCTAGAAAACGCATGTTAAAATCTGCAAATAAACACTGATTTCAACAAAGAACAAATTCTCCACAAAGGAGCTATCTTGAACTGAAAATTTCATAGGAAGCCTATAGGACTAATTGAAAATGAATTCTCATTGGAATGTCTTTGGGGGAATTTCACAAAATAAGTGGTCCAAGCTGTTAAAGACAATGCAGAGCTAACTAGCGACTACTCTATATTCATTTGAGTTCTTATCCATTTTCAATAGTCATGGTCATGGTCGTTTTATTCCAAAGGAAGGGAAATATAAATTTAGCCTAGACCAGTGGTCGGCAAACTTATTAGCCAAAGAGCCAAATATGAACGCTACAACAATTTTAAAAAAAATTTGGGAGCCAAGTCTGCTTGTTTAGTAAACGTTTATTTCACTAAATAAGTTGTACACTAAATAAAAGTAAATTTCATACTTAATAAGTATTTATTAATGAGAACAATGTGCTTGCATCTCCTTGGAAAGTTTGAGTAAGTCAGGTTTGTATGTTGTTTTTAATTTCAGGCATGATTCCAAGTTCTCATCAATATTTCCAATTCAACACAAAGACGTTCAAATTTAGAGCACCATGTCTCCTTGTTTTTTAAATGCCGCAATTGTATTTCAAAGCTCCCAATGTCAATTTCAAAAGGAGAAAATTTCAACTCGGTTATCGTAGCATTAAGAGGATTTTTGACAGATGCTAAAATTGCTCTGCTGTTTTTAAATTCCTGAAACCTGCTGAGATATGCTTCCCTCATATTTAAAATTGCTTTAAAATGGTGTTTATCAATAGAGGAATTATTTTCTTGGCGATGCTTTAGCAGGTTCAGAATGTGAAACAATGTTTCCCTTTCAAAATCCTGAGCAAAAATGGATAATTTGTTTTCTAATGTTATTACTTCTTCTAACATCGAAAAAATAAAGTTTCCCTTCCCTTGTAATTTACGATTAAGCTGATTTAGATGAGACGTAACGTCTACCATGAAATAGAAGAATTTTAATTTATCAAAATAAGATGTAATTTTTTTCTTACCAAGTTTTTTTTTAAATGAAAATATTATTGCGCCTTCCGTGGATATTTGTGCCAGAGCCGCGCTTAAGAAGCCAAAGAGCCACATGCGGCTCTGGAGCCGCACTTTGCCGACCACTGGCCTAGACAGATACAAATCAATTTCTTTGCTTTCCTGTTAGGAAAGATCTTCGACAAACTGGTTACGAATAGGCTTCCTTATTATTTCGAAATAATTGTTCAGCTTAAAGAAGGGAAAAAACAATCTCACTGGCATTTTAGCTCTTGAACATTTTCCTTATGTAACCTACGCATACGAAATAATATAATATTGCTGTAGCCCAAGATGATAAAAAGTGTTTTTAATAATGTAACAAGAAAGTTTACGAGTTTTTAGTTCATGAATCAATTCTTGCCAGTTGAATCAATTTTTAATGATCGTTGTCGGACTGAAGAACTTCTTTACTCATAATAAACATGATTAATGGAAACTTTGAATTCTTTTTAGGTGTCACTCACACGGTATCCAATTGTCCGAGACACGCATGTGAATGTTTAAGACGAACTGCCCGCTTATGCGTGAATCGCATATGCGTGCTATTGCATATGTGATGGCACGTAAGATCTCAAAAATTGATTCAATTGGGAAGAATTGATTCGGGAAATTACATTAATGATTTACTTTCATGTTGCCCTATTAAAAGCACGTTTTGACGTCTTGGGATTCAGTAAAAGTATATTCAGTAAAAGTATGCGTTGGTTGCTTAACAAAATTGATCAAGAATTTAAATGCTAGTGAGATCGATTTTTTCTTTCTTTATGCTGTATGATTATTTTGAAATAGTGAGTAAGCCTGTTCGCAACCAGTTTGTCGAAGACTTTTTTAAATAGGAAAGCAAAGTGATTGATTTGCATCTGTCTAGGGAAGATTAATCTTTCTCTTGCTTTGGAATAAAACTACTATGGCTTTTGAAAATAGGTAGGAACTCAACTTGAAGATGAATAAAGAGTTGTCCTCATAGTCAGCTCTGCGTTGTCCTTCTTAACAGCTTGAACCACTTATTTTGTAAAGTTCTTCCGAAGAGACAACCAAGAGAGTTCATTTTCAATTAGTCCTATTGACTAATTGAATATTTTCCGTTCAAGATAGCTCTTTCGTAGAGAGCTTGTTTTTTGTTGAAGTAAGAGTTTGTTTGCAGATTTCACTATACGTTTCTAGAAAATTCTAAGGTACATAATAAAATGAACCGTGAAAACTCAGATTTTTTAGCTTGAATTTAAGATAGTCTTAGAATAAATATGTACAGGTAAATTCAATGTTTCAGATCGAAATTTGGATAAAGCGTGATATGGAATTCTTTATAAACTGTAAATTTCATTTTGTTTGCGTGTACTTATACAGGGTTTTACGTAATTACCAACCTTCACATACAGTTTTAAAATCTTTCTCAAAAAGAAATAATAAAAATTATGTCTACTTTGGGTCACAAATTGTCATTTAAATGAAGAAAAAATAAATAATGTTATAAAAACTAGTTGAATCAGTATTGCAAAAAGCAAGATTGAAAGCAGCAAAACTAGTTTTAATGCCGTTTGAAAATTGTAGTTGTTTTGTCTATTTTCTTTTACCTCTATTAATCAAACAGATTTTTATTGTTTCAGCCGCGTTAATTTTTCGCCATGATAAGATAACGACGAAACAGTGTACATCATTCCGCTTATCAATTTGTGAGCTTCCAATATTTATATATTTTTTAATGTTATTTTTAGAAAGAATTCTAAAGATAAATATTAAAGATAGTGATTACTGAACACCTTATATATGTGAAGAATCAGTACAATTATTGAGAATAAACATTATTTTCGTAATTTTGCTGTTTTAAAAATATTTACTGATGCTACATATTTTGTTAGTTATATCTCTGCCGTATTGTGCCTTTTAACTGTAATTATAAAAAATACTTTTTATTTAATGATTCAATAAGAGTATCTAGTTGAATACAGAAATATTGTGCAATTAAAATAGCCTCAAATTATATTTAATTAACTATTAAATTACCTGTTTCACATTTGTCTCCTATATATCCTAATGGACAGAGACATACCCCATAATCAGGACTGGCTGCAACGCATTGTCCACCGTTCAAACATATCACTTTGCTGCAAACATCAGCACTGCATTCATCTTAAAAAAAATAATAAATATTATTTAAAAGAGTTTTAAAAAAAATTAACTGAAAGAATGAAATTTACCCCATATTTATTTGAGCGTAACTTTTTTAGACTTTAGATCAAGGGACTTCAAAAATATCAATCAGTTGAATAGTTTTTGCAATTACACTCTATAACAAAAAAATCGACGCACCAAGAAGCAATCATCCGATTGCTTTGAAATTTCGTATGCATGAATGTTTTGAACAGATATGCAAATGATTAAAATTTGGTGTCCAATGAACGAATAGTTTGATCTCTGGAGCATCGGAACTGCGCGTCCAGGAGACGTAATAAGGAGCAGTTCTTCAACGGTTGTTAAAACTTTCGGTTTGATTGCGATTCCGATTAGGTACCTTTCAACAACTTAAAAAATGCCTCGCTGCAGGATTCGCGCTCATTACGAGCAACTTTCAGAGTTTGACAGAGGTCGTATCATTAGATTGAAAGAGACCGGTTGGACAAATCGGAGAATCGGTCGTCATTTGAGTAGAAGCGATGCGGCGATTCGAAAATGCTGGCAAGGATGGGGGGGGGGGAATGACAGAGTTCAGCGTCAGGATGGTAGCGGTTGACCTAGGGCTACAACAGAGCGTGAGGACAGAGTGATAGTCCGAGCAGCTGTCACAGCGCCTTCTTCATCTCTCATCAACCATCAGACGTTCAACCCAAACACCAGTGTCCACCATGACCATTCACAGACGGCTGAGAGAGCGAAATCTAGGCTCGCGGCGACCGTTACGCCACATGCCACTCACGCCTGCACACTGCCGAGCCAGATTACAGTGGTGCATGGCTCGATCAGGCTGGAATGATGCCGACTGGGGACGTATAGTCTTTAGCGACGAATCCCGCTTCCAACTGTGTCCTGACGATCATCGAAGACGTGTTTGGAGACGCACAGGGCAGAGGGGGGATCCTGCCTTCACTATTGCACGCCACACCGGCCCTCAACAAGGCATTATGGTCTGGGGTGCCATTTCCTTTGACAGCCGGACCCCTTTGGTCGTCATTAGAGGTACACTTACTGCACAGCGGTACGTCGACGACATCCTAAGACCTGTTTTGCTACCGTTCCTTTTGCAGCGCCCTGGGCTGGTTTTTCAGCAGGACAATGCCAGACCACATACGGCACGTGTTGCTATGAACTGTCTGCAAGCTTGTCAAACTCTTCCTTGGCCTGCCAGATCACCAGATCTCTCTCCCATCGAGCATGTCTGGGATATGATGGGAAGGTGATTGCATCTGGCACGGAATGTTGATGACCTCGTTCGACAATTAGATCGAATTTGGCAGGAAATACCGCAAGAGACCATCCGGGAGCTTTATCGGTCTATGCCAAGCCGTGTGGCAGCTTATATCCAGGCTAGAGGCGGATCAACACCTTATTGAACGTGTTACTGTAACTCTGCAATAAATTATTCAATTGATCTGAAATTTTGATCATTTACTATTCTGTACATTGTCTTTCTATCCACCAATTTTCGTTTCAATCGGACAACTCCTTCGTGGTACGTCGATTTTTTTGTTATAGAGTGTATTTAAAGTTTTTATATTTATTTGAAGCGATTTTTTTATTATATAAGCTCATTAGTTAGAAATATATTAATTAATAATCTCATAAAAATTACGTAAAATGGTTTTTTTTTATTTAAAAAAAAAAAAAAAACCCTGAAAGAATGAATTTTACATCATGTTTATATGAGCGTAACATTTTTAGATTTTAGACCAAGAGACTTCTTCAAAAAATATCAATCATTTGAACTTTAAACAGTTTTTACAAACATTTTAACAGTTTTACATTCATTTAAAAAGTTCTTCTATTAAATAATCTCTAGGGTCTGACCTTTGGGAGTTGAGGGTTAAAGTTAAAGGCGGCAGACCAAGTGCTAAATTATTCTAAATGTATAACATTCAAAAATTTCTACAATTTTCCACTTTCAAGCGAACTTTTCTCTTCAAATTAAGAATGCATCATTGGAGGGGAGGCACACAAAATATTTTGGTGTTTAGAATTAAATTCCTATTATTTGTATTTAGTCTGCCATCCAATGCAATGAACTAATCTGTGTCTACTTTTCCTTACGTTTTGAATAACAATTTTTTTCTAAAACAATAGAATAATAGAATATTATAACTTAAAATTCTAAAAGAGTAGATTTTTATTAATTCAACTGTAAACAAATTAAAAATATAGAAGGATATATTTATTCATGCAAAAAAATTATTCTGGCAGAAGAGAGCGACTTAACAAATAATATACCAGAATCACTCTAAAATTGAATAAAGATATCAAATAAATTAGAAAGTAAAAATTAAAAATTTTTTTAAAAAAAAGTTTAAAGTGTATAACTATGCAGAGTAATAAAATAAATCAAAATCGGAACTCTTTAATATGTATTATTATTCAATGTAATGCAAATATAATTATTTATTTGTAAAAAATTATAATTATACACAGATAATAAAAAAAAGAACGCCTTTAATATGATTTTAATGATCGGATTTTCACATGTTAAGACTCAATATTAATGACTTGAGTGTCTAACCTTAAACATGCTAACTAATAAAAGCTGATGATATTTTAAGTTACGAAATCAGACGAATTTTAAGTTACGAAATCAATAAAATGTACTTTCTCTAAATAACCATATCTTTTTCGACGGAATGGATTCTTGACCCTCAATATAAGGGATGGGGTAGTTGCTACCCAGAAAATGTTGGTCTCAATAGTTCTTGCGTATTTTATCATTTCTGGAGAACATTTTAAGCAAATAGAAAATTTCGTGCCTACAATTATAAAATTCCCCTGTCCAATCATAATTTTTTATCTAAGGTATATTTTTACATCATTTTATAGTACTATGTCTCTTTACATGACAAAATACAAAATGTGAATTATATCTCATAGATCTCGAGAAATCAAATTTTAAGTATACGATTTTTTAAATTTAGTTAACTCAAAGACTATTCCACCGATTTCATTCAAATTTTGTAGTTTGTCATTTAAAATTACATGATTTCAAATGATATAAAATTCGTATACTTTACAACTCAAAATTTTTTCAACTAAATTAATAATAATTGATTATTTAAACTTATTTTTTTACATGGAATTATCTTTGGATAAATGAATTTTATAATTCCGTGGGTTGGATCCTCAAACCTTAAAGGTTGAGTCTTTGCGTGCAAATCCAATTATTATATCGAAAGTTATTCAAGGTGTTCAACTGGACACGCAAATAAATATTATTATTTGTAAAACTTCGTTAACTTTCCAATTTACAAAACATATTTTATGAAAGTTATACCTATGTCAACACCTTCCAACGCATCTCCTTTTGATATAGGTCTAAAGTCGTAGATTTGACGATTAATGGCTAAATGCCTCAAGCAACCTTTAAAACTTGATTTCGTTTGAGTTCTGTCAGCAACTAGTGTAATATTTGGAGAACCTCCCAAGTACAAATTTAAACGGAAGGTTATTCGCGAAAATAGACCCTGAAAGTAAAAAGATACAGTCAGCCATAAATATATAAACTACTTTTTTTATTTATAAAAATAGTTTTTTATGCAAAATAATTTCAATAAAATTTTATAACTAAAATGTATGTATTATTTTAAAAGTTAAAACTGTCTACTCAAATAGTTAAAAAGTTATGAGTCCTCATATTATTTTAATTATTGCAATAAAAATATTATGCAAACATTTATCATCTATAAATCACAAGGAAATTAAAAATTGATCAAATATTTATTTAAGGTTTAATAAATATCGAATGAAATTTAACAAATATCTTATTCCTTTCTAATATGCAGCGCGTGAAGAATATAAAGCATAATTGTTTCAACCAAATTCTTAATAAAATGTTAAAATTCTTTTTTGCAGTTCATAAAATTCCTTAAATTTCATAATGCATGAAAATAGTTAAAGAATTCTGAAAATTATTGATATTTAAAAAATTATAATTTAAATAAAATATTTAATAAAATATTGCCACTTGCACAAGTAATGTAATAAAATGCAAATTTGCATTAAAATTCATTCACTGTATTAAAACTTTTAAGGCAGTTTAGAAAACAGCATTTAAAATGTACAAAATGTCAATTTAATATTATAAAAAGTAGATATATAAAATTTCTTTATAAAATTATTCTACTGTTAGAAAATTATTCTATTGTTTCTCTTTGATAAATATTTTAAATAACTTACTTGTCGACACATTTCAAAAGACAGAATATTCTTATAAAAATAGATAAAGTAAAGTGAACTTAAAAATGCTAATTATTCACTAATTTCTCCTAAAAATATTAAATATATTTTACATTTTTCTCAAATTTTGCTACAACTCAAATGTCTTAAAAGTTATTTAAATATAGTTAAAAATCAGTAACTATTATTGATAAAAAATATTACCTGATAACTTACTTTTCCCAGATTTGAAATCCATTTTCATCAAAAGTTTTACTTTGTACTCAACATAAAATATTATACTTACAAATACTTACTTATCCATTAAAACAAACGCACACCCTGGATGTTTATTCGTATAACCTTAATTCTAATATCAAAATAATCTAATATACTATTGCTTAAAAGTGTACTCTTTTTACTCAAATTTTAATTTCATTCAATAGAATTAGTTAAAGCAAATTTTCACAGCATTTATTTGTCAAAAACTAATTTAAACTTAAAGTAAATAATTTTTTTATAACATTTTTTTATAAATGTAGCTAATGTAAATACAGATATACGGTGATCATAAGGTTTTATTTGCTGACTAAATAAAATAAACGGGCCTACTTTTGAGCGCCCTTGAACTTGGCTACCGCTGTTCAGTTGCATCCATGCGTCCCATCTGTCTCGGTATATTGTTAAAGTGTTCCAAGACCGCAAAACTACAGGCTGATCGCTGACAAGTAGACCTTCACCCATTCCACAATCAAATCTAAAAGTCAGCAAAAAAGTTACACATAAAAATATTGATTTTTTTTGTAATTGATTACAATAAGACATCACTGGTTTTATTATTATGTGCAGTTACGATATCATTATGTAGTAATATTTGGCATTTCGTAAGGAAGCTATTAGTACATGTGTTAGGCAATAACTGCCCTTAATGTACGCTTCTAAATTTCTTGTAAAAAAGAAGAAGTATCTCAAAATTGTGGTCAAAAAGTAACATCAAAATAAGAAGAAAATAAAAGAAATTTTATCAAAAATTGATCAACCAATAATAAAGAAGATGAGATTGAAAACAACAAAATTTGTTTGATTGCCCATTCAACCCTTAAATTGCTTTAAATAAACGCCTATCACCCCCTCTCAAGTTTCCTCTGGCAATTAAACATGTTTTGATTTTTTTTTAAAATTATTAAAAAGTTTTTCCTTTTCTCTCGTTTTAATATTAGTTTTCCAGCCGCATTCTACATTTTGTTGATCTCAGCTTTGACAATCCAGATATATATGAGTCGCTCAGAAGCCAATGCGGTTAAGTCCAAAACACAAAAATTGATAAAATTAATGTTTTTTGATACATTAGTTTTTAAAATTCTTGGTTTATTAATTTAATTAGAAAAGTGTATAAAGTCTTTTTTCGAGGTGTAAACTCTGCGAAAAAAACAAGATATGTACAAGATGTGTAAATAAAAACGTAAGTGTTTATTGAAATAATGACAACATCTTAAACATTTTAGGACTTATACCTTTTGGCAGCTGAAAAAGATAAGAAATTTATGTAAAAATAATAAAATAACATTTGTTGTCATAAGTTTTATGTTTATTCATCATAACAACTAATAGAAAATGACTAATAGAAAGTAAACTGTTGGATTATTTCAAAAATTGCTTTTTACTTCAAAACTAGAGTGGCACTTTTCTTTGTTTTAGGAAATGAAAATAAAATAATTAAAATAAAAAAATAAAAAAAAACTTAAAATACCACATTTTAAAAAAATACTACGAAAAATACCATACCCCTTTTTTTTGGTGAAAAAATACTACCGTAGTATTAAAAATACTACGTCTGGCAACTTACTACGAATTTCTTGTTTTTCACTGTTACCAACAAATATCGAAAGAAGAAGAATAATTTAATTTTCATTTCAAAGTTTACGTAAAAAAATATTGATAAAAGGTGGACTTATTCACAATGGCTCATTATACAATATAGAATTATTATACAATATATTCAGAAGCTATTAAAAAAAGGGCTGTCTAACCTAGAAAAAAGTAACCAACGAGTAAATCCTTTAATAACTAAGAAGATTATTATTTATTTTATCAAAATTTCCAAAAATCAGAAAATATTAAAAAATGGACTTAACCGCATTGGCTTCTGAGCGGCTCATATGTTAAGTATGGTAATAAGGGAACATTCTTAAGATGCATGCACGTATGAATGGTTTTTATTCAACTAGTAGTATCAAATAAAATTTTGATAAGTAATAATTTAAAAATATTTTAAGTTTGACCAGAAGAAACAATTAAAAAAAGTTAAATTTAACCAGAAGAAACAATTGAAAAAGAATTTAAATATAACCAGAAGAATCAATTTTAAAAGATTTTAAATTTAATCAGAAGAAGATATTTAAAAATTTTAAAGATAGTGTGATTTATGAGCTACAAAAAATGTGCGTTACAAAAAATGGAAATTATCCCGAGATAGATTAATTGTGAAAGTTTTGATGTCTATACAATACACTAAATTCTGTCTTTCTGGTACGCGGTATCTTTCTGGTATGCGGCCAACTCCTTGACCATCATCCAGGCTATCGGCCCTATATAACTATTTTGGATTTGAACACCTAGTCTTCATTCTACAAGAAGATATTTAAAAATTTGAAGATAGTGTGATTTGTGAGCTACAAAAAATGTGCGTTACAAAAAATGGAAATTATCCCGAGAAAGATTAATTGTGGAAGTTTTGATTCTATTCAATACACTAAATTCTGTCTTTCTGGTACGTGGTATCTTTTTGGTATGTGGCCAACTCCTTGACCATCATCCAGGCGATCGGCCCTATATAATTATTTTAGATTTGAACACCTAGTCTTCATTCTACACTTCATTCTACAAGAAGATATTTAAAAATTTAAAGATAGTGTGATTTATGAGCTACAAAAAATGTGCGTTGCAAAAAACGGAAGTTATCCCGAGAAAGATTAATTGTGGAAGTTTTGATGTCTATTCAATACACTAAATTCTGTCTTTCTGGTATGCGGCCAACTCCTTGACCATCATCCAGGCGATCGGCCCTATATAATTATTTCAGATTTGAACATCTAGTCTTCATTCTACACTGCTAAAAAAATTAAAGGAGCACATGGATTTAACTAAATAACGCAAATATTTCTTCTGATAACTAAGCCAAAACAAAATATCCATAGTCTTAAGTATAGCAGAAAACAGCAGAATTTTTTTTTTATATGCTAATAAAAGTTCATGATGTCAAAACCAAAAAAATAATTTAAGGGCAGAAATCTTGACAGTCAGACACCGTGCTGCCAGAAGAAAGTGAATTACTGAACATCGAGATTGGATGCAAAGTGATTGGAGTCAAGTGCTGTATAAGGACTAGTCCCAGTTTCACGACTCAAAGGTATGCAGACGAGATCCTGAGACCCCGTGTCGTATCTCACGATGCAGCCATCGAGGATTTCTTTCTTTTAATAAAGGATAATGCCAGACCTCATACAGCTCATCTTGTGAAGAATTTTTTTGAAGCTAAAGCAATACAGCGTATAGAGTGGCCAGAATGCTCTCCTGATCTTAATCCGCACTCGGACGATGCGTTGCTATAAGATCTAAGCCTCTTGAACAGTATTCCCCAAAGTCTCATCGATAACCTCATCGTATACAAGCAAAATAGGTGTGCGGCAATCTTAGCAGTTCGGGGGACCACACACCTTATTAAACATCCAGTATCATTTTCGTACTATCAGTTTTTTGTCATTTACATGCTCTCAGATTGTTGCCTTGAAATATAATTTCATGTTTTTTATACGATTCCAAATATTTTAAGTTCCCCTGCAATTGTTTTTTGCTATTTTTTTCATGTATTGCGTATGTTAAACCTGTATTCTCCATTTTATGCCCATGCTTGGCTATTACGCAATGGTTTCATAATTTTTTTGCTTGCTCCCCTAATTTTTTTTGAGCAGTGTTGTTTCGTCATTCTATTTAACATTGACCAATAGTGCACTGCGACGAGGTTTCGAGTTCAGGAAACATTTTCGTCATACATTTGAGAGTTTGCGTTTCGCCTCAAATCACGCTTTTAAAAATTAACGAAGTGCAGTGAATAATCTCAAAACCTTGGAAAATTTGATTCCGAAAATTAAAAAAAAAATTCAACTCACCTGAATTCAATAAAACCTTTGTTTAAGGAAATAGATATGAAGTCACCATGTAGATCTAATTTTTCCCCGCTGTATAAGATAAGTCCATCATTCGCCTCAGGTCTGAATTCTAGCGTAACTTGCATTGATTTATGAGCATCCCTTAAAATGGGAAGAGCCAGATAAGACCCTTCACGAAATCGAGGGTACTTTGCTTCAATCACTGCAATAGAACATAAATTTTTAATGTTCATGAAAACTAATTGGAAAAATAATTGAATCGTTTTTTGGAAAAGGATATGACAGTTTTTTAAAGCAGATACAGAAAAACGCTTTAATAAGCAAAAGTTTTTTTCTTGCACAGTGAAAAATAGCCTGGTCATAACCAAGATGCCAACTGCTCCGGACACGCCAGAATAATTAAAAAACTGTAAATGACAACTAAGTAAATTTTGCAAATATTTGGCAAGTTTTGCTTGCTTTATATGTGGTATAGTATGACATAAGTACTATAAAGTAGTGATTAATATAAGCCTACGAATTATTTAGAAATAGTGGTGGATAAAAATCTACTAAATTGAATTTATTAAACCAAGAATCACAATTGATAAACTACCACTTTAAAATATATATTTGCTGTCCGGAGCAAGTTGGCATCTCTGCATGACTACCAGAATATGGTAAAATTTACCCGCGTTTCTGGCTCTATGGGAACACCAGAAAGATTGGTAATTTTTTCCGCAGAGTTTTGGTAACGGTAAAATTAACAATAAAATATGGTTTTATAACATGTGATAAAATTTTGAAAGTGTGGAAAAATTTGGAAATTTTATCATGATACCTTAGACAATGATCCCCAACCTTTTTATCACCGTGGACCAGTCAACGTTTAATAATTTTACAACGGTCCGCTGAGTAGACAAAATGTTGATTGTTTATAATTTAAATTATCTTGATTTAATAACTATAAATTAATTGCATTTAAACGTGGCTCAATAAAATAAAATTGCACAGAAAAATGAATATAAAGTGATTTAACATTTTAACTAACTGGAACGCTAAATCAATGTGAACTCTGAGCTTGTTTCTTTGCAACGAGACGGTTCCATTTTGGGGTTATTGGAGACAATGAAATCCGAAGTGTGTTGCTTATGTCCAGTTTATTCTGTTGTTTTGGTTACTGTCACAGCAGAAAACCTCGCTTCACACAGATAGTTTGACGTTAATGGCAATAGGGATTTAAATGCTGCGATATTAATCTTAGGGTGAACCTCCCGTCCATGGAAAGTCGCACAAACCCGATCGAAATACACCGCAGTAAATAAAGATAAAATTGACTTTATATTTCTCGTGCGGCCCGGTACCATGATCCACGACCTGGTACCAGTGCGCGGCTCAGAGGTTGAGGACCACTGACTTAGAGCATGGCACAAAAGCCATTCATTCCTTTAATTTTAATTTTCAATTTAGTATTTTTTACTGAATATGGGGTAAAATGAATCACAATTTTGAAAACTAGAATTTCCGGTAAACCGTTACCAAAATTAATAGATGATGAAATGGAAGAAACCAGCCTTTTGTGAAAAATATAAGTCCTGAATAGTCATGATTGAATATTATTGAAACGATAAGTAAAATCTAAGCTTAAAACACAACTTTTGGATTAATTGCATTTTAAAAAATACGTTATAATACCTATCCTAATTTACAAACTCTTTCTGTCCAAATTTTACTATCTTTAAATTCTATCTATCAAATTATCTACACTTATCAAAATTTTTGATAAGTGTAGATAAGTTGACTTTCGTGCTCTGTAAAATTTGTGGTGCAACAAACACCTAACCGAATCTGGTGGTGAGAAACTCTAAAAAAAGTCTGTTATTTCAAGTTAATACTGAATCAAGTGGTCATATACAATTTAAAGGGTGTTGTTAAATCTTAACTCCAATAAATGAGAAAGCTTACAGCAAAATTCTCCATTCATAAATAATTTTCGTCAATTTTGGCGTACGTTTAGAAACCGTCACATGACCTCGGTAGTTTGTTCACAACTAGACAAGAGTGCAGAATTAGTTTGATCGTGCGAACGAGATTCGGGGGAAATTCAGTTAGCCCTGGGGAAATTTTTCATCCAACTAAAAAAAATGCTCCTAAAATTTTATTACGAAAAAAGTGTCGCTTTACAAATTTTTTTTTTTTAAAGAAATTAGAAAAAAATGACTGAAATGAAATTCAATCAAGTCAGTAACATACCGATATTTTTTTTATAAATTATTACGAGATGGAAATTAGTGCTGATTTGAGCAATCATTTCTTTTTTTGGCACGCTCGATTTCCGCCGATTTCATCATAAATATACGAGGAGTTTATTTATTTATTTATTTTTTTTGGCAGATATTGCTTTTAATTTTCTGATGTTTTCAATATTTTATTTTATTTCATTCAGATATTTTAATACATAGTATTACGACCTTCGAAATTTGATCATTGGCTTTAGACGTGACTATTCCACATTTTTTTTTACAATCGATTTTTCGGTATTGCCCTTGATTGCACATGGTTTTTAAACTGCCGATGTATTTCTAGCGACGTTATTACGTCACACGAAATTTGAATTGCAATTTGAGTTATCACTCTTTGCCACACGTTCTGAATTCGCGTCGATAGCATGATAAGTTCATGTGGTGATTTGAACGTTTTTCGGCTGTATTGATATTGATTTTCAAATGTGTATCTTTTTAATCTCTGGAATCGTAATTTTTTTGAATCCTGTTATTTTTCATGAAATATTATTGACATGCGAAATTCGAATAGCGCATTTAAGTTATTCTCTTTATGTATATATGTAAGCCTACTGAAAATTGGAGCTAGGCTCTTCGTTAGGTAATGAGGACTAGAGTTAGGTTGTGGCTGAGTTGCGTCTTATCAAATGAACCGTGGAATGCGGTTTAATTAGTGTATTTGGTTGTTTCACCTATCGTAAGAGTTGGGAAATACTAGACTTTTTTTTGAGTTAAAGAGCATTCTGGTGCTACTATCTATGCGTCAAAGAGAGTATCGTATTCTAATAGTCCAGAGTCACAAATTGAGGAGTGCAGAACACTGGAAACTCTTTATGTGTTGAAGGGAATTGAGGGAATATTGTTGTGTCAATGCTGGGTCATGAACCCTCGTTTTGTCGGTCATGAAATTTACAGATTAGCCCTCTCGGCTATAATATGTACTCAGCTGCAAGGAAACAAGTGGCTTCGTTCGACGGGTTTAATCGGTGTGATAAAATTCTGGTTGTTTAACCGTATTAGGTGAAGACAGTTAATAAAGATTTATATATATATATANAGATTTTTTTTCAAAATTTATCAAGGAAGGATGCTTTTAATTTTTTTAAATCAATTATTTTATGTTTCAGTAAATTTCAGTTTAGTTAAATTCGTAAAATTTAGTTATTTTTGTACAAACTAATCGCAATTTATTATAACTAATCGCTCGTGAAAACTAATCGCAATAAGCAGCATCACTTATACTCTACATTTTAAAATACAAACAAACATAAATAAGTAGGACCACAAATGCTCTATTGGATTAAGGTCAGGTGAATTTGGGGGCCAAGATATGACTTGAAAGTCACTGGAATGTTCCTCGAGCCAATCCATGACGATTCGACCCTTATGACATGGTGCATTATCCTGTTGGTATACACCATCCCCCGCGGGATAAACTGTTGCCATGAATGGGTGAACTTGGTCTGCAACTATGTTCAAGTAGCTTACAGATGTCAGGGATTGTTCTATGAGGATTATGGGTCCTAATGTGCATCATGAAAACGTTGTTCCTGGGCGAGAAACCATGAAAACCTGGGCGAGCCCATTGTTATAGATGGAGGGTGGTCATAATGTAATGGCTCTTCGGTGTATATAGTATGCAGTTTATATACCACAGTATGCAGTTTGAATACTTATTTATGGTTATTTGACCATTTCGTTTAAATATGGTAAATTAACAATTAAATAAATTGTTATTTTACTCTTTGTTCAAAGAAATTTCTAACAGTGTATAGTAATTTGAATATACCTTGTTCACAAAATGTTCCACTTCTACCTAATGGGCAGCGACATTTTACTGTGTGCTTAGAGGGAGATTCTTGAACACATATTCCACCAGACACACATTGTAAATCAGCACAAGAATGAAACACTTGTTGCATTGATGGAGTTGATGCGGCTACTGTATTCATTTGTTGAAAAACATCCACTTGTTCATTTATCTTAGGAAGTTCTGGAGCATTCACACTTAAAGAGTTCAGTGAGCGTCCAGCTGAATTATCATAAAGATGTTCGTAAGATATAGGAGAATATTGAGTTCTATTGAGTTCAAATATAATATGAACCCCATCAGAATTTATATGTTTAGAGTTCAAAGTATGTGATCGACTTTCAAGGCGTTCTTTATTTTTTGAATGAAATGATTGGATTTGTTGTAAATCTTCAGATTCAAAAAACTCTTCTGAGGAAGTTCCATTCTCTAACCACAATGAAGAATTACTCCAGTCACTCCGTAATTTTGAGTTTTCTGAAAAAATAAATAAATAAATAAATGTAATTGGAATTTTTTATTGTATATTACATAAGTAAAAATACTAATAAAATAAATTGACCTGATTTACATTTATTCACATTTGAAACTAAAATCTAATACGTGCGTTTTTAATATTTTATTTTTCAATTTAGATCTAATATATTAATAATTTATAATTAATATTTAAGGACGAAACTAGTGGGTGGCAGCTACTGCATGCAATTCAAATTCACTCTCTTTTATAAGAAAAAAAAGATATTTACGATTTTAAAGATTTAGAATTTCATGTTTTCGCAACATTATTATTTATCGTATTAAACAGAAATGTATATTGTATATTATTAAATAAATACATTATAAACTTCAATAAACCTTAAGTTGTATTTATTCACATTTAAAAGTTACATATATTAGTTTAGTAGCATAAGGATAAAATGACAAAATGGTAGCTACTGTATGTAGTTTTAATTAGCTTTTTTTATACGAAGAAAAATATAATTAAGTATTTGAAGATTTAAAATTTCCTTTCACAACATTATTTTTTTAATATTAACAGACATTTTCATATTTTATATTAATTAAATGAAATATTAAAAACATAAATTAACCTGAATTACATTTATATTCACAATTAAAACTTAAATAAAACGCATTAGCTTAGTAACGTAAGGATAAAGCGACGAAATAGTAGTTACTGCATGTAATTTAAATTCACTTTCTTTTATAAGAAGAAAAGAATACTTATGTTTTCTGGAGATTTAAAACTTCATATTTTCACATTATTATTTATTGTATTAATACGCAATTATTTTTTGTATATTAATTAAATAAAAATATTAAAAACATGAATTAATCTGGTTTGCGTTTGCTCACAGTTAAAAATTACATATAATATATTAGTTTGGTAACATAAAGATAAGATGACCAGGTGGTAGCTACTACAGGTAATTTAAATTCACTTTCTTTTACAAGAAGAAAAATGCATTGAATACTTAAAATTCCATATTTCTAGAAGTTTAAATTCAGTTTTTATAGTACAGTGCGAAAAAAAGCTGACTTGATCTAATAATAAATGACTTGATAAAAATGACTTATGATCTAATGATTGGATCTTCACATACTAGGACTCAATCTCAATAGCTAGAGACGGTGACCTCAGAGATGCTAATTAATTAGTGCAAACGGTATTCTAAGTTTAAAAAAAATCAGACACAAAAACGTACTTTCTCAGAATAAACATATCTTTTTTTTTTTGACGGATTCGTATTTCTGACCCTCAATATATACAGAGTAGCCTCAGTCTGTGAAATATGGTCCCCATAGTTTGGTCAGGAGAGCGATCCAAAGTATGGACCCCTTATAATGTTAATTTTGCTTCTTGTGTATTTCGCCATATTTCGATAACTTTTTAAGTGAAATAAAAAATTTTTGCACACAAATATAAAATTCATTTACCCAAAGATAATTTCCCACAAAAAATGAATTTTAGTAACTATTTATTATTTTTTATTATTTCATTTAATAATAGTCAAAAAAGTTTTAAAAGTCGTAATTTAAAATATCGACTGCATTAACTAATTTGTATAATTTGAGGTCAGCCCCTCGAACGACTAAAATGGAGTCCTAGAAAGTGAAGATCCTATTATTAGATCAAAAGTCATTCAGGGTAAGTCAGTTTTGTTTGGCGCACTGTACATTATTCAAACATGTATTTGAAATAGTAAATATAATTATGTCGTTATTACTGAGATATAAGTGAAAATCGAGAGTGGAGGTTTAGGAGTGAAAAGGCGTTAATTAAATACTTAATCTATTAACAAAATTAAATTTAGTTAAAAATACTTTTCCAGAAATATTCAAAACAATCAAATGCTAATGAAATATATTTAATAGTTTGAATGAAGTGAAAATATATCATAATTAATCAGTGTCATAAATTAGAATTTTTTTAACGTTTTACATCATAACTTTCTTACAATGATTGGCTGAATGTTTGATAAAAATAATCCTCACCTTAAGCAACCTTAATCATCAGTAATCATAAGTAAATATAAGTTATAAAATATTTAACTTAATGTCAATAATATAGATTAAATTAAAATAATAAAAATTTCATTTTCGATAATTTAAAAGAAAAGGAGGCCGTAGGTAGAGAATCGAATTACTGAAAAAAATTAAATTTTTAGAGTCAATATTTAAAACAATTAAGTATTTTAAAGTTGTCTTTTCTACTTTTAAAGCAAAGAAAAAAAAAAGAAAAAAAAAGTGCATAAGTTAATTGATTCTAAAATTTTGTTCAATTCCAGAATATGAGACTAATTATTTTGAATAGAAAAGAATTATTTTTTCAATCCAAATCATCAATTTCATTCTTTGAAATGAACGCTTCTACAAATTTGTTATCTCAGAATAGTTCTCTCTTTCGCCGATAGATGGCAGAAAAAGTCAAGGATCTAATCTACTGATACAAGAATGATAAATCCTACAATGCTCAGATTTAATCAATTATTTCAGTAGATTACAAACGCGATAAATTTGCTTTACTAAATTATCAGATTTAGTTCATCTTAAAAATAATTAATGTTTTGAAATTTATAGAAACATCGAAACAGACATATTATTTTTTTCTTTCAAAAACGATAATTCTTTTGGATTCAAAAGGTTTATGAGAGTATTAAGATGCGTGACCATTAATTATTTAATAGTTCTTAAGAACTTGAGATTGCTCAGAATAGATATAACTCAAGAAATTTATGAACTTGCACTGTTAAGAAGTTTTTAAAAACAAACTTATTTTAACTCAAATAATAAAAACATACTTAAAAGTTCTCTAAGCAGAAAAATCAGTACCGGCATCAGGATAACAGTAGTTTTTACTGCAAAATCCATTAACATTTTTACACAAAATTTTACAGAACAAAAAAAATCTCATATACCGTAATTTTTACTGTAATATATTTACTAAAATGTAATTAAACAAATATTACTGTAAAAAATATGGTATAAAATTTTACTGTAAAAATACATTTTACGGAAAAAAGTACTGTCACACTGAGTGTTTTTAAATTTTATCGTAATTTTCTCAAGACTTTTTTTAGCGTATTTTTCTGCAATTAAAGATAATTTGAAGTTTAATAAAAATACAAAATCTTTACAGAGGATCAAAATAGTCACAATATGAAGATCTGAATTGAGTATTCAGTACTGAATTGAGTATTGAATATTAAGATTACAATGGAATTGAAATAATGCTAATGAATTAATAAAAATTCTAAATGAAGTAAAAAAAAATAATTACTTCTTAAATAATGGAAAATAATGTCAAGGTGTAAAAATTACATATTTTTAGTTTTTTTCTCCATTTTTTTAGTAAGAACTCAAAAGTTTTATTAAACTTAAACTTGAAACTTTTTAACTCTCAACTACATTTTAAAGAACTAAAAAAAAGTATTAGTATTTCCATTTAAAAATACTATATACGAAATAATGAAGATGAATAAGTATTTTTTCGAATTAATTTTATAAAATCACATGAGTATGTATTTAATAAAGTCTCAATTACTTTAATAATAAAAAATAATCATAAACTAATTAATAATAAACTAATCATTAATAATGAACTAATAATTAGTAATAAACCAATAATCCCTTTTTCTAACAAAGTATGTCTGAAATTAAAACGATTATTTTCGTATGATGACACGTTTTAAAAACATAAAAAATAAATAAACGCAAAATATAGATTTAAAATTTTAAAATTAATACATTTTTAAGAGCTTAAAACTAGAAAACTGTATAAGCTTCTTGTTATAGTGTGTTTATAAACTATTCTTGAATATAACCTAAATTGAAAGTATTAAAAACTAGTTGTAATTAGTATTTTATTTGAACATACAGGATGAAGTAAAAAAAATAAATAAATTACAACATAATCTAGAATAGAAAAAAAAATTGGTTATATGCTATATTTAATTAAATGTGCAAGATACCAGATAATTGCATGTCGTTTCAATTTAGCATTTACAAAAATATCAATCAAAATTAGAGATTTTTATTTAATTTAAAAGAAATTGCGGTAAAGCTTAAAATAGATTAGCTAAATAAGCTATTTTAAATAAGAAAACTGCATTTAAAGAAGAAAATTAGGCAACTTTTTATCTTATAAACTAATTAACGAATTCACCGAAGAATAATTTTCTAAATGAGAGTCGATGGTAATTTTAAATCAAAATATCAAGCATAAATTAAGTTTAAAATTAATATTTAATGCTTTAATAGTTGAAAATGATTTGACATAGCTTTTTAATTATTATTGGGAATTAATTCATGGATTAAGCTTATCATACAAAAAATATACTAATGACAACGGTTAAGTTAGAGAAACAAGGTTTTCTGTTCATTACATTTTGTTGAATCAATTTTGATCACACTGATAACACGGTTAGTTTCACACATTTATCAAGGTTATTTTCCAGCTAATAATTCTCTTTGATTAATTTTTAAATAATATTTTATAATAATTTAAGATCGATTGGGTAAATTGATCATAGCGTAAAGTTTTCTGTTAATGACTATTTTACAATTACCTAAATTTGATTACCAAGACTGATGTAAATTCAACAATTAATACTTTCTAAATATATATTTAACTTATGATACATTATTTTTAAATAAACAGAAAAAGTAGAATTTATCCGAAATGTAGTAACATCCAGAAATCTTATTTGGACATTTTACCAGTGTAAACACATACGTGTGAGCACACATAATTGCGTGTATCACACTCTACATTAATATAATTTCTGCAAAAAAAGTTTTCTCTGAATTCCAACGAAAAAAAAAAAAAATTCACTATCTTTTAAAGACTAAAAATTGAGGGGAGAAATAAAATATAATAAGCAATGAGAAGTAAAGTATTTCCTCAAAAGCCCGCTGTTGGTCAGGGGTGTCATGCTTTTTAAGGATCCACAATTTCGTGATCACAGGCGTTATTG